CTTTCCTGTGACAGGACAAGCACTGCCATCCCAGTGCTGCCATCCCAGTGCTGCCTTCCCAGTGCTGCCTTCCCACTGCTTCCAACACGGGGAATTACATGGATTTCTCATCTTGCCAGAAATCCGTGATCAGATCTAAACACTGCACCCCATGTTTGAAGCAGAACTAGGTCTGGCTCAAATTCTCCTCGTCCTACTGACATTGGTGCAGATGACAATGGGTCCCCAACAGCTTTGTGCTTGAGATCACAACCCAAAGCCTGTAGAAGACACTGAAGGTCTCCCTTCTTGTTCCAGAGGGAGAGAAATCCAGGTCTGATTTTAATATATCCATAACTTTAAACACCTGCCTGTGTCCTACAGGAGTTAAAAGGGCTCAGAAGCACCTCTCATCTCCAACACATGCTCCAGTGAGGCAACCACAGCCTCACCACCTTTACAGAGAAGGATTTCTCGCCAGTATCCCATCTAAACCTTCCCATGGCAGTAGGAAGCCATTCCCTGTATCCTGTCCCCTCAGTCCCTTGTTCCCAGTCCCTCTCCAGCTCTCCTGGAGCTCTGGAAGGGGTTCTAAGGTCTCCCTGCAGCCTTCTCTTCTCCAGGATGACCCTTGAAATTCACACCTTGCTTGGTCAAAGCTTGGATGGAGCTGCCACCTTCATAAAGGAGATGGACAAAGGGCTTGTGGGCATTTCCTGGGAGAAAGAGACATCCATTGGGAAAATCACCAAGTCCTCCCTTTGCCTTTTTTTTTTTTTTTTTTTCTGTCAGCATCCTGCAAGGAGAAAGAAAGGTCCCTATTTCCAGGAACGAGGAGAGAGCTGTGCCCACCCCTCTCCCGGCGGCAGACCCAGAGCACACCTTGCCGCGTTCATTGCCCGGATCGCCCCGCGGTGGGAACCGCTGCTCCGGGGGTTTGCACGGCCAGGAAGCAGAGGGGAAGAGCGGGCACATCAGCTGGTAACAGTTCAGAAACAGATGTACATTCCTGCGCACGGCTCCGGCCGGAGCGTATCCAATTACTTTGGAACCGTGCTCCGCCCCGAGCGTCTCATCCCTAAAGCCCCGCTGCCCGCGCCTCCCGCCCCTTATCTGCGCCGCTCTTTGCTTTTGATTATGAACTTGTCACCGCAGGGGGAGGGCTCTGGGGACACAAGGCATGAGAGAACAAAGCCCAGCACCAGAAGGAGCAGGGACAGTCCCGGCTGGCGCTGCCGAGGCAGCACGGGAAGGTGCCCGCGCCGGGTCGCTCCCGGCGGGTGATGCACAAGCGCTGAGGAATGATCCCCTGAAAAAAGGAGGGGAACAATGAATCAACTTAGTCAGGTCTGGATGCAGTAGAGGTGGTTCGGTGCTGGGTGAAATTTGGGAGCGGGATGTTTCTGGAAGGAGAAGGGACGCTCTCCTCCCTCCTCCGTAGCAGGAGGTAGAGAGGAGGAGGAAGGCAAAAAGCACAACAGCGTCTGGTTTTCCTCCAGTTTGCTCCAAAAACTGGCGTCCCTGGCAGCTTCCCCAGCAGAAGGGAGCTGGGAGAGCAGCCTGGATGTACTGAAAAGATATTACCTGCACTGTCAGGGCATCCAATCTTTTCCTGCTTCCCACAACAAGCAGAGGGAGGGGTGGCAGGAGGCTAAAATCCAAACCTCCTCTTCAGCACAGAGAGGCCAGAGGGTGATTTTCTGTCCAAATCCTGCCCAGGAGACAACCGGACCACAGGCTTCCTATGGAGAACAAGCACTGACCCCAAATCCCAATCCACACTCATTATCACCCGCTAGCAAAAAGATCTGTGAGCCCGGTAAAGGCAGAGGAACAACATGATAGTGAGTGTCACACTCAAACAAGGCATTACAATTCCACTAAAACTACTTTTTTTATGTGCCAGTTTTTTATTCCCGAATCTCTCTCCTACCTTGCCCCGGTGGGAGGAAGGATGGATCCAGCTTTGCCAGTGGCACCTTCGTGCTGCTTTCCCCACAAACCTCCCCAAAGTCCCCTTTCCTCCAGGAAAGCCGATCACATTTCAGCCGGGGCTGGTCCCGCACCTTTGGTCTGCTCCAGGGCAGATATTTGCAGGATTCTCACCACGGGACTTAGTCCTGGCACCAAGCACAGCAGCAGTGCAGGGTCCAGACACACTCACACAGCAGCTCCAGCCAGCCCGCTTTGCCAGCGGCACCTTAGTGCTGCTTTCCCCACAAACCTCCCCAAAGTCCCCTTTCCTCCAGGAAAGCCGGATCACATTTCAGCCGGGGCTGGTCCCGCACCTTTGGTCTGCTCCAGGGCAGATATTTGCAGGATTGTCACCAGGGGACTTAGTCCTGGCACCAAGCACAGCAGCAGTGCAGGGTCCAGACACACTCACACAGCAGCTCCAGAGTGATGCTCGCTGGAGCCGGGCTCAGAGACTCCATAATTACCCCACGGCCAAATCCCACCATAAATTTCCCCTAATGAAGCCTGCCTGATACTAAAAGGCTTTGCACATTTAGAGGTTATGCACAGCAGCAATTCCCTTAGGGAGAAATCCTGCCTCGATCCTGCAAACACTCCTTCGGTCTCGTTTGCTGAAGCGAGGCAGGTTTTTATTTAATTTATTTACTTAATATTAGCTGTTTAACCCAGAGGAGCACGGGGCTGCTCTGCTGCTGCCGCCGTGCAGCTGGAGAGGCACATCCCAGAGTGCCAGGAGCAGCAGCCACTCGGCTGGACCAGGATCACGCCACGTGGCCACAGCTTCTTCCCAGCACGGCTCCAGTGAAATGCCCAGGAGCTGTGGCCGTGCTTGTATGGGATTATCCCAAACACCCTGTGCCAGCTGGGAACTGGGCATGTTGAGATCCATCCACACAGTCCAGCCCCAGAACCCCTCTGTCACTTGTAGGATCAAATCGCCCATGGAAACACCTCACATCCTGGGAGACCAAGCCCTGCTTTTGGTGGTCATGGCAGGGCCATAAAAAGCTGGAAGGGGGAGAGGGCAGGGGGAGAGTAGAAGCACAACCAGCAGCTCCACTCACCATCCTCACCAGCTGGAATAGTCTTCCCTTGCTCCTGGTGCTCTCAAACACAGGCCAAAACATCCCTGCTCCTTCCCTGAGCAGCTTTTTGTGGGCACCTGCAGCCCTTTGGGACAGGGCACCCCAGGAGCTCAGCCCTGCATCCCCCCATCCTCCCGTGCTCCATGAATCCCTGCATCCCCCCTGCCCTCCTGTGCTCCATGAATCCCTGCATCCCCCCTGCCCTCCTGTGCTCCATGAATCCCTGCATTCCCCCATCCTCCCGTGCTCCATGAATCTCTGCATCCCCTCTGCCCTCCTGTGCTCCATGAATCCCTGCAAAACCCACAGCGCTCGCCCCCAAAATGTGGTGCTGTGAGCTGGGAACCTGTTTGCTGGGAAAACCAGGAATGATGTCCCTCCATGCTTCGGTGATGGCTTCCCTCAGTGCTTGGAAAGGACCCCAGGCACTCAGGAGGCTCCTAAATAACCCCAGCACAACCCAAATGCCCCTCACAAGGGGCGGCATCTGCTTTGAGGTCCGTGGTAGGCACCATCCCAGCCCACTTGCACTCTGGAACTCCAGGTTTTGAAGCCCTGGGCTCCAGCCCCAAACCCTTCTGGAAGCGGCATTTGGGGTGCGAGTGGGAACAGCACCCGCCCTGCCAGGCCCACCGGGCTCTTAAATCAGATTAAAAATCTATTTGCAGAATGGCCTTGCTTTCCGACTTCTGTGCTGCACCTGAAAACCTTTCCTTTGGAAAGCAAACACAGGCTCTCCCCGGGGGCTGCCTGGGGAAGGCTTTCCACTATAAACATTACCTACCAGCAGTGCAGCCAGCCCCAGGCAAGCCAAAAATTCCTTCTCCTACCAAGAAACACTTTCCAATCAAACCAGACATTATTTTTTCCATTAATGAGTGTTGATACCAACTGGAAAACTTTGCAAAGAAATCCACTCTAAACTAATTTTTCTGATACAACATCGACATTTTACAAGTTTCTTTTGTCTTATTTCTTTTTATTATTATTATTGTTCTATTTTATTTCCCTGCTCCATATTTGAAAACATGATCTTTGCCGCTCAGGAATGCATCTGTTCCTGCAATTTGGGCTGTGACTAAAGTCAGAGGTCCAAATCTGATTTTTCTCTGCCTTAGCTCCACAGAAGCAAGCAGAGTTTTCCCACATTTCCCCCCACGGCGTGATGGAGTCGAAAAAGGAGACTTGTTGTCTTCTGTTGGATAGATCAGAAATCCTGCTATCACAGTTTTTGTGTGCTGGGATACCACAAATTCAGCAGCAGGATATTCTGGAGGAGAAAAAAATGTCCTCCTACCTACCTTGGCTGCTGATTCCCTAAAATGTACTGTTTAGCATTTAATGGAAGGGGGGAAGTTGGGAGCAAATGGCAATGCATAGGCAGTGTTCCTTCTCCAGGGTCCTCTCCATGGGGTTTTCCATGAACTACTAGCTGCTTTCCAGCAGCTTGCCACATTTTGGGTTTTCCAGCAGGAGTGTTTCCCATGCCCCCCACAAGTAGGGGTTTAGCCCCCCTGCCCCCAAATCTACACCATTCTCATGGCTTAGCATGCCCCAGGGAGGTTCTGCCGCTCCGAGGTCACCCTGTGGGATGGGGAGGCAGGTCCCCACCCCGTCCCTGCAGGACAAGGGGTTTGCAGGACCCCACAGCACCAGGGGCTAGAAAATAGGGCCTCGTTCCATAGAAACAGGGCACGCTCTCCTGCGTGGGGGGCTCGCTGCTTCTGCACCCCAGTGTGGGCACGGGATCTCTGCAGCCTGGCCACGGAGCTGGGAGTGGGACCCCAAAAACCCCGGGGTGGGTGCAGGGGGTTATCCTGGAGGGGTGCTGCAAATCCAGCATCTTCGGGGGTGGGGGGGCATTCGCCAGCTATCTTTGATTCGAGGTGCATTCCCAAGATTTTAGTTAAGTGTAACATAAAACTGTGAAAGTTTAGCGGGGGAAAAGCCTTCCTCCCACCGACCTGGCCGGCCAATCAGGAGGGAGCCCCGCACCTCCCTCACTTCTGACAACTATTTAGCAACTGAGCTCAGCTAAAGTTTCCAAAAAGTTAGAATAACTTCCTCTCTCCAAGACCTCAATTTTTTTACACAACCTCGGTCCTTGAAATAAGAGCCCTTCAAGCAACCTGGAAAACGTTTGGTCAGCAAAAAAAAAAAAAAAAAGGAAAAAAAAAGAAAAAAAGAGTCCTTCTGTTTTTCCAAAGGATCTGTCTCAGGAATTTAAGGCACATTTAAGACACACACACACTCACATAACATAAGGAGGGGGGGAAAGGCTCTTCCCCTCCCCTTCTTGCAGAAAGCATGGAAGAAAGCTCCAGTTCTCCTGTTTCCCCTGTGGATAGCTTGGGGACCAGTGAAGAGGAGCTGGAGAGGCAGCCAAAGAGATTTGGCAGGAAGAGAAGATACAGTAAGAAGTCCAGCGAAGATGGCAGCCCCAACCCAGGGAAGAGGGGGAAAAAGTCCAGTCCCAGCTCCCAATCTTACGAAGAACTGCAGAGCCAGAGGATCCTGGCCAACGTCAGAGAGAGGCAGAGGACTCAGTCGCTCAACGAAGCTTTTGCCGCCCTGAGGAAAATCATCCCCACGCTGCCCTCTGACAAACTGAGTAAAATCCAGACGCTCAAGCTGGCGGCGCGGTACATAGACTTCCTCTACCAGGTGCTACAGAGCGACGAGATGGACAGTAAGATGACGAGCTGCAGTTACGTGGCTCACGAGAGGCTCAGTTATGCCTTCTCCGTGTGGAGGATGGAGGGAGCGTGGTCCATGTCGGCTTCCCACTAGCCGCCGCCCGGGCCGGGCCAGCCCAAGGGGTAGGTACCCATTTCTCTTCTGGACGATGCTCTGGGTCTGTTTCCCTCCCTTTGCCCTTTGTGGAATGCTGGGGGTGTTGATGGGTTTGGGGTCGCCGACCTGGAGGGCAGTGTAGGCACATCCAGTTTCTCCCGCTCCCCCCGCACCGGAGGAAATTCAAATAAATAGAGCTTCCAGGAAGGCAAAAATGAGATATCTCCAAAATTTTGGGCCGTGGGGGAGGGAATTAATAATCAGTATGCTTTTGCTCTGTGGGAATGGGGAGTAAGAGGGGGCTGGTGTTGAGAGGTGGGTGATGAGGGACAGAGGGGAAGCCGTCACTGTGTGACATTTGCCAGAAAGCGCTGCTTCGGAGAAGGGCTTGGAGAGGAAAAGGTGATGGCCACAACAGGCTGACAAGGGGATCCAAAACAGCTGCTGCCCCGCTCTGTGGGTGTCTGCACCCCAAAAACCCCAGTGCTGAGCCCCGTGGTGATCACATCCCCTCCCAGCTGGGGGGCCAGGGGTCGGCAGGACCCACACGGGGCTTGGTGACGGGTTCGCCCCAGGTTGTGTTTCTCTTAAAAGAAACAAGCAGCAGATGTCGGCTGCAGTCCCGGGCTGTGCCCCTTCCCCCTCACACAGCAAAAAGCAAACAGACATAGGAGAAACTCTGCTAAATTTTTGGGTCTGTCCAGTTTCCCTTCCCCAAAGTGACAGTAAAGCAGCGGCTGGCGTTAGGCGCAGTTTCTTATTTACTCTCCTCACCAAACCCTTCCTCGTCACTTTCCATTAGCAGAAAACTACTTCCTCTTCAGCTGCCTTTGTAATATTCGGGGAGGGAGGAATAAACAGTCAGAAAGGAGGGGAAAAAACCCTTTTAATAACACCCTCATCTCCAGCTAATTAAGCAGAGCAGCTCTGTGTAGTGTCAGCTGGAGTATGGGTCTGGCTGGGCGCTGTCTGGGGCTCCCTACATAAAACAGAGCCCACAAACCCATTTCACCAAGCAAACACTCTGAAGGCACATTTTTCTCTGCCACCCTTATGATGTAAAAATGAAATAATTTCATCATGTGCAGAGTTGAAGAGGAAAGTTTATCCCAGCCCATTGGCCGGGCTTGTTTAAAGAGGCAAATCCATCTTTGTTCAGTCAGCAATGAACGGCCCCTTTGAATAAATAATATACAGAACCAAGCAAAAACTTGATGCAACTGCAGTGCCTCAGTTCAAAAAGGTAAAAAAATGTGAAACCAGGACTTACGAGTGGCGTAAAACTGACTTAAAATCATTTTAGATGTAAATGTTTTGCTTGCATGCTGAAATGGTTTGGAATTTGCAATTTGGTGCTGGAATTAAGCTCTTCTAGTGATTCCCCAAAATATGAAAAAAAGTCTCAAAATTGGTTATTCTGCCCATTGCATGAGCCGCCTGTTTTTTAGCTTTATTTAAACAAATAGGTAACACTGTTGTGGGGTTTATGGCCATCACTGGCGTTCTTGTATTTTGCATGTCGTGGCCCGATTTCAACTGCAAAAATCCAAAACTGAATGGGTTTTTCAAAAGCAAATCCCTCCGTTTATACAACAGAGAGCCTTTTCCCATGTTAATATGGCTAAAAAACTGCAGCAAACAGATTAAATAAAAAAAAACCCACACAAAAACCCAGGCTTCTTGTCAAAACCAGATGTAAAATGTCCCGAACACATATTTCTTCAGCAGTTTAGATTGGCTGAATAAGAAAGTGCTGGGCTGGAACAATGCATTGATTCTGTTGTTTCCCAAATGATGTGTTGCCATTAGCCAAGGATGGTTGGAAATCTGTTATCTAATACACAACTCTCCTAGCACATGGGGCAAAACCTGCCTTTTTTAAACTATGTTTTACATCCCACATTGATTAAATTATTATTAACATTGCTCTGATGAGGCAGACTTTATAGGTAGGTGCTCAGATTGTCCCTATCCCCCAAAAAATGTGTGGATATAATGGAAAAATCACGATGCCGAACCAAACCCCGGCATGTTTTGGTTTGATTTGGAATAAATCTGAATTCGGCTGCTTTGCCGTAACCCAACCTCCAATCCAGTGCTCTGAGGTGGCTCTTGCAGAGGAAGATCCCAAACTTTCCCCCTTTCCCTGTGCCTGTGCTGTGCAGGAACACGCGTGTGGTTGGACTGTTGAAAAGGTTGTTGACAAATGGCCTGGTGCGGTGCGGTGTCAAATTCTATCGTTTATGGCGACAGAAATTACAGCTGCCAGAAAATAAAAAATAAAACTACAACGAGGTCCTCAAGAAACCCTTGAAAACAGGCAAGTTTAGTTGGGTGGTGGGACTTTTTATGGGTTAGAGGGGAGCAGCCTGTGCTGCCCCAATGGACAAAAAATCCATAAGAAATTGCTCTGTGGGTTTGGGATCAGCGCCTGCCTTTCCTAGGGACTAAGAACTCCAAACGCGGGGTGAGCACTGCTCAGGCTGGGCTTCATCCTCCCTTTTCCTGAGCTTTTTGGGAGACACAAGCAAGGAAAGGTTTTCTCCTTGGAGGGAGGCTCATTCCCCTCTGGCTGCAAGCAAAACAAAAATCAGAGGAGCTGTTTGATTAGAAAATCAGAGCCTTGGGAACTGGGAAAATGCCACCTGGCCCCTGCAAACGTCAGCAGGTCACTGCTGCTCGCTCCCCTGGCCACGAGAGCTTTTCCTGTTCTGCTCCACGGAATTCCAGACAACTGACTCCAGGAGTTGCAGGAGAAAGAGGCGCAGATTTTGCACCTCTAGGACGGCAGTGGGATGTTTCAGCCGAGCCTTCATTCCACCCAAAATCTCCCCATCCTCACCGCCAGCACCTGCGCCCTTCCCCTCGCAGCCACCTTTCCCTTTTGCTTTCAAAATGTTCCACGGGCTCTAAACTGAAAAGAACAAATCCAAATCAGGAAAAAAAGTATGTTTCCTGATACTTCTTTTAGTAGGGGAAAAACCTGTCCAGCCGGGATGGCAGGACCAGCAGCGCAGCAACACAACCCTGAGCCCCGCACCAGTGAGACCAGTCTGCTGCTCCTTCCCACTCACTGGGGACGAGCCCTTTGCCTCCCCTGGGCTGGCACGGGGGCCGGGAGCTGCTTTTCCCACCTTTTCCGTGCTGGACAAGCCGCGTTTAACGAGTGTGTTCAATCTAGAGCCCTCATCCCATCGCCCCTTCAGATTTGCAGGGCTGTTTCCAGTATAAAACACCAGCATCCTATTTCATTTTCTCCTTAAAGGAGCAAACAGATGTTATCTCTGCTGGCCCTGGGAACAAAACCTAATTCTATAGTGTCTGAGAGCAGCACAGTTAACTGGGGGTGTAGTGACACTGGAACGAAGCCCTTTTTTGTCCCAAAAGCCCCATTTTTTTTATACTCATCCTTCAAAAATGTAAATAAGTTTCCTTGACAGGAAGGATTGTAAAGTTTGGTATTTACATTAATAGCCTTGTAGCGGCGGGGAGGGGTGGGGGTTTCATCTCAGTGCATTTAAAAAGCCCAGCAAAATGCATTTTGGATCCTCTGTTTACGTTCGTGTCTTTCCTTGGGAAAGGATAAATCTGTTACCCAGCAGACACCAAGCACGCTGCAGTCAGCCAAAAACCGCTCAGGCTCAGGGATCTTTGAAAAAGAGGGTGCAAGGGAAATGCTTCGGAGAAGGAGACATGCGAAGAGACAAATCTGCCAGGGGCTAGACGCAAATAAATGAATTACCCATCAGAAAGAGCTGGAGACGCGCATGGTGGAGGGAAAATGCTGGATCGGGTCCGAAGGAACGCTTAGAAAAGTGGTAAAAACATGTTATTACTTAATCTGCTGGAGGCAGAGCTGCGGTGAAACTCCTATCGGGAGAGATGTGCGTTGAAGGGTCATTAAGGGAACAATCGAGGCAGACATTTCGGCTAAGTAGACCTAATTTGTCTCCAAATTAGTCATCCTCACACCACTCAGCTCCGCAGAGCAGCCCTAATTTTCAAAGCATCCTCATTAAAACAAAGGGAGAGACCGAAACGCTTCTCCTGAGCAACCTCCCCTCACATTCCTTCCTACAGCGCTTTTTGGGGGTATATTTCCTGCAGTTATAGGTAGCAGTGATAAATGAGCCCTGGAGATCACAGCGGGCTCTTACAGAGCTGGGAGAGATCCTGTAACCACCGCTGAGATCTCTTTTGGGGACATTTCATGTCACTCTTTCCCCCGGCAATATAATTATTTTTATAGCCGTAGCCCTCAGAATCATTTCCATGTGCTTCAGCACGACTTTGAAATCTCCGAGCCCAAACCCTCCAGAATTTATGTCTTGCTGGAGAGCTACAGGAAGGGTTTGATGAGGCCACGAACGTGGAAAGGGACGGCACCAGAGCCCCGAAACACAGAGCGAGCTGGAAATGCCGTCAGGGAATTACGGCGGGATGGGGAAAGCAGATCTTTCGGGGAGATTTTTCACCCCTCTTGCCAGGTTTTGCAGAAAATTGGGAAGGAGGAAGAAAAAGCAGATTGCTCCTTGCAAGCTGCTGATCCCACCAGACACCTCCGTGGCTGCTGGGAGCTCCTCATTCCCTTCTTCAGGCAAATTTGGAAGTGATGAAAACCATTCAGCTGGATATTAGCAGACTCGTACTAATTAATGATCAGTTCTCAAGAATTAAAACAGTAGAAATATTTGCCAGGGATTTTTAAAAAAGCAGAAAACAAAACAAAACAAAAAATAGGGGGGAAAAAAAACCCAAACAAGAAAACACCAAAACAACACTTGGCATCCCGGCATTAATTAGATTTGTAGTTGTGGACGATGACCACTCAGCAACAACAACTAATCACACAAAAAGAGCAAATTAACTCAGCCAGCCCATAAATCAAGGCGAGGCAGCCCTTGCCCTCAGAGCCATCCCTTTAACCGCTTCCACACCAGGCCCAGCCAGTCCCCCCAGCCCAGATGTCCTTGTCCTTCCCCTGCCAGTTGTGCAGCAAAGACGTGGGAATCAGGGCTCAGGGAGC